AGGTGGCCACATCCTAGTGCGTGGTGGTGAAACTGAACGACAGATACGTGTCACCCCGATCGATGAGCACTTGGTTAGGCAGGGCATAGCTAGCCTGTGGAACGCGCGGCCGCTGGCTGTCACTGCCGGCACGAGTGGCGGGGGGATCGGGAAAGGTTCAATGTTTTCATGGCTGAGGAGAACACCCAGAGATACAGGGGAAAATAGAAGGGCTTCAAACCTGTCTGATGCAGGGCCAGAGCCAGAGGCTGGAGAGAAACTTCCGGTGGCTGGGTTCTGTTGTAGTCGCCCCACCTGCCTCTGCAGTGTCTGGGCCTTGTCACTGGGAGATGGGCCTGACTGGCCGTCCCTGGGTGATCCTGAGTGTGGGGGAAAGCGAGGGAAATGGGTTTCATTTATAGTACTTAAAGCGTGCCACGAAAAGGTGCGTGAATGTCATATGCTGCAACTGCGCCCTCGTGAAACAGACTTGTAATAAAGAAATAGGCTGAGACATATGGCTTCCCATTGAACGGGCAATGTGAAGTTTCAGGGAAATGACAGCTTCTTAATCAGTTGTGGTTCATTACCATATCTTCCTGTAAGCACGGGGCTAAATTTACTACAATGAGCTGGTTAGCACTAGGAAGCAGTTTTCCTGTTGGCTGAGGAGGAAAGTTCAGCTTTCGCTGTGAAGCTGGAAATCCATTATTACATTTTAAAGCGATAGTTTGAAACCGGTAATCTGCAGAATGACATTAATGTCCCGAAAGTAACAAACAGTCCTAATCTTGTTCAAATGAATGTCCACCCTGGTTCGCCAGCACCGTCTGACGGCAGGCTCATTCTAGTGTCTATGAAGAGCTGAAATTAACTAAACAGCTTCATTACCAAGGGGTTAGCTAATAAACCCTCCAAACCGTGGGATAACTTCAGCTGTTACAGCTCCGCAGAGAGCGTCTGCAGGAAGCAGGTTCCGATTTAACACCGTTTAATTCGTGTGCGTGTCTGTGCAGAAGTAAAACCCCTCTCAGAACTGCAGCGCCTGGCAGGCCAGCCCCAGCCCCAGCCCTGACGGAGGCACTTGTGAGTCCTCCCGAAGATGTGGGCTAAATTCAGGGGGATGGGAACGGGGATGCAAGCTATACGTCTGGGGTCAGTGGAACTCACGTGCCACTGGGTGGCTGTTCAGCCACGTGTAATTTGCCCGCCCTGGTGAGGGAGGTTCACAAGAGTGTGCAGCTGTCCTCCTTCCTTACGCTCTGCTCTTAGTCGCTGGTCTTGCCATAACCCCATTGGCCCCTTGGTTTGTCATCAGAGCAAGTCCCACTGCTTTGCCATGTACGCCACTGTTCATGTCGCCACTGGGGGCAGTCAGCAGAGCAATGGGGGGTTCAACCTTTTCTGCAAACGTTCCTCTCTTGGTCCTTCTTGGTCCCAGGACGGCATCCCACAATGCCCTGTGCTGGGACGTCCCTGAGAGTGGCTGGGTGGCGTTTGCAGTGACTCGGGGGTTTCTCCAAGACGGTTCTGGTTTGCGGATTTCTGAAGCTCTCAGTTCACCCATCCACGAACATCCCCACATTGCTGGAGCTTCTAACAGAACACCAGGGCATGTTCCAGCACCCCAGTCTGTTACTTGGATGGGCATCGGCAATAGAGGGCTCACGTTCTGAGAGGGTGCCGTCCATCCTCAGCCAAAGCAGAAAGGACTCTATGGGGAGCAGTCACTCAGCAAAATGGAAGCGTTTCTCCTCTTGGGCCCACCAACGCAAGTTATCTCCAGAATCCTCAGGGATCCCTGCTATCTTAGACTATCTGCTTACCTGTAAGTCTCTGGCTCTTGTGCTCGGTTCTCTGCGAGTCTCTCAGTTTAGCAGCGATCGGCGCTTTCCGTCCTTGGGTGGATAACGGTATGCTCGTCACACACTTGTCACAACTAGATTTCCGAAGGGGACCCTCAGATCCTTCCCACCATTGGTGAAGTTCGCACCGCAGTGGGACCTCAGTTTAGTTCTGTGGGCACTCACTAAACCCCTCCTTTGAGCCCCTCACCATGTGCCCTGTGGCCCTTCTGTCCATGAACCTGGCCTTTCTAATAGCCTTCACGTCGGCTGGAGGCGTCAGTGAGCTGGGAACGCTCAGGTGGACCTACCGTACGCTGCCTTCCACAAAGAAAAGGTCTTGTGACCACCCTACCATGGGCTCACTCCTAAAGGACTTACCGAGTTTCCTAGGAGTCAGGTAATCCACTTACCAGTATTTTTTTCAAAGCCGCATGCCTGAGACGAAGAGAGAGGGCTACGTTCTCTGGACATCCATCCGAGGGCTTTGGCCTTTTATCTGCAAAGAACAAGGACATTAGAAAGACACCTAAACTCTTTGTTTCCATGGCAGAGCAATCAAGGGGTCAAGCTCTATCGGAGCAGAGACTTTCAAAATGGATTTCCGCTTGGGTTACCCGTTGTTACCAACTAGCCCATAGTCCCCCTCCAGAGAGGTGAGGGCTCCTTCCGCTAGAGGGCAAGTCACTTCAGTTGCGTTGCTGAGAGCCGTACCCCTCCTCGAGATGGAGGGCAGCTACTTGGAGTTCTTTGTAGACCTTTGTGAGACATTGCTCTCTGGTGCAGCCATCAGCCGTGGGAACAGCCGTACTCACTCGGCTATCGCGTCGGCATCCTGGCCCCAGCCAGTCTGACTGCTGTTTGTGAATCTCCCGAGTGTGGAATACACCTAGGGACTAGCAGTCGAAGAAGAAGAGGAGGTTACTTACCAGTAACTGGAAGTTCTTTGAGATGTGGGGTCCCTGTGTGACAATGCAGTTCTGGCGGAACCCAACTGAGAGTGCCAATTCAGGACAAATTGCTCAAATAGGGCAGTTACAGCCAA